GACCAACCTCATCCCGCCCCCTTGACCTGTCCGTCCTCCCTGGACTGACCTATCCCCTTCCTAACTCCCTACCTACACTCACCTTTACTGGCTCCATCCCCGCCTCTTCGACCTGTTTGTTTCCTCTCCACCTATCCTCTCCTCTATCCCTCTTCTATCCGCCTCCCACTCTCTCCCTATTTATTTCAAAACCCCCTTCCCCTCCCCCTTTTCTGATGAAGGGTCTAGGCCCGAAACGTCAGCCTCTCTGCTCCTATGATGCTGCTTGGCCTGCTGTGTTCATCCAGCCCTGCACCTTGTTGTCAAACATTGGCTCTACCTGGAGGACCATAAACTCAGTGAAAGACACTCTTTGGTCAGCCCGAAACTTGTTGGCCTTCCAGAACAGGGAGTTAACCCCGTCTGAGTATTGTAGACTGGCACATTCCAAGGTGCAGGACTATGTGCTGAGGGAAACACCAATGCTTGAGGCAGCCGTCGCCAAGGAGCGGTGGGGAAAGACCACTGTCTGAGGTCTTTCTGCTGAAAGTAAATGGTGGTCTGTTCAGTTCTCGGACTCTCCCAGTGCCTCAAATATATGTAAATATAGTCTTGTACAAGTAATGCTTTTGGTTTATTTGCTGCATAGAGTCAAACTCCAATGTTTGTTTGTTTCTCCATATGCTATTGTACAGAACCAAACTACTTTAGTGACTACGTATGTATGCATATGAAGATACTCTTGTGAACAGAGTTCAGTTTTGAGCTAAAAAATAAGTCAGTGATACGCAGTAGGTCAGAGAGGAGGAGAGCAGAGATCTCAAGAGCGTTGTAGGGTTGGACCTGGGTTAGAGAAAACAAAGGGTGGATCCATAAGATACAAATAAGATGAAGGATAGGTGACTTTGCTTGGACAATAAGCACAAAAGAAGCACAAGTAGGATCAAGAGGATTGTGGACAGGAAGTGAGACCTCTACATGAGTTGTTTCATATTTGTAACACTTAGGCAAGAGCGATAGGTGTTTCAAATTGCAGCTGCGGTGTTTCAGTTCCACCAGTTGTTATCATTCCCTGTTCAGACCATAGTTAACTTGTCAGTTAGTCTAGACAGCTAAATTAACGTTAGCCTTCACAAGAGTCACACTACCCCAGTAGTGAATGGACTGCCCATTAACTCTGAACTTACATATTTATACATGTTCTTCATGGCTGGATTGGTCTTGGACCTCACTGTGTGAATCAGAGCTCCACCACCTTTCTGGAAACATAGTCAAAAAATCAACACGTCAGACAGTCCCACACCATCACTGTCACCATCACCATCAGAAAGTCTCATACCGTTACCACTAGACATTTTCAAACCTTCATTGTCACAGAGTCTCACATTATTACCATCAGATATCACCATCACTGTCAGACAGTTCTACACCATCAGACTGTTTAAAACCGTCACTGTCAAACAGTCCAACACCGTCACCATCACACAGTCCAACATCTTCACCGAAAGACAGTCCAACACTGTCACAGTCAGACAGTCCAACCCTGTCACTGTCACACAGTCCAAC